AGAGCAGGGTTTAGGGCTGTTGTACATAGGGTCGTTATGAGTCGCAAATGACTCGACGACACATAACAACAACAACAACAACATAGAAACTATATTTTATATCTTTTTCTTGTGATAATGCCTTAAAACTGTTACCACAGCAGTACACATTATTGCTATTAATTTTCTACTGTATAAAATATTAAAGGAGGAAATTTAGATATATAGTTTTGCAAGCAGTTTTGAAGATCTAGAGCAAAATTCATTGCTTTAAAATTAATTACTGCTTTCTTTGGATACTACCTTCTTAGCTGTTTTGTGCTTTTAGGGGTTGTATGTGGCAGAAGTAAGGGCTAATCAGGAGGGGCTTTCCCATTGGATGTGACCTCTAAATGCCAGGTGAACTTGGAATGTGGACTTACTCCATATTTTAATTTTGAAACTACAGTGACCTATACAATAAATACGAAGGCACAGAGATCCTAGGAATTACTATTCAGAATTTTAAATAAAGTATTACTTTATTTTGCTTCTATGATGCCACAAAACACTTTTTTAAAAACTAAATAACCTACATACTTGAAGACATTAACTTTTTACTACCTACCAAAAGAACTCAAATTTACTTCCACCAAGTCACTTCTCACAGCGACTGCCATCAAGTTTCTGAGGCTATAAATTTTATGGGTGGAGATGTCTTATCTTTATCCCTTGGAACCACTGATGGTTTTGAGCTGCCGGACCCAAACATTACATCCTACTCTACCAGGATTCCTACCTTTTGGTTGGTTTTGGGTTTTGCTATTTGAGATTACTGGAGATGTTTAAGCTTGTTAATATTCTAACTATTATTATAACTGTCATTTTAATTTGATTTTTTTTTTTTTTTTCATTTGCTTTGCAGCTTTGATTAGTTTGTCGTTTGGAGGAGCAATTGGACTGATGTTTTTGATGCTTGGATGTGCCCTTCCAATATACAAGTATGTAGAATTGTCTTTTTAATGGTTTAAGAAAAAAATTTTCCATTTCTAAAGCTTTTTTTTTTTATTTTACCTCTGTAAAATATTAAGCAAAAATATTCATAATCTTTTTTAAATTCTTGTAAAATATGTCCAGACTTTAGACTCTTTAGGCTTAAAAACTTGCTTCTTGACCACCACTAAGTCTGTAAAAGCAGGAAACAACACTCTAGACCATCCTTTCCATTCAGTGTTGGTTTTTGTTGTTGGGTTTTTATTTCTGTTTTGTTTTGAATAGTTGGGAGTTTCTGAATGAGGTACACTGCTCAGGCTCTAACAGAAATATTGAAGGTTTGTTTTGAGTTCACTCAGGAAGGCCCTGGAAGAAAAGGCCTGGTAATCTACCACTGCCAACCGTACACAGTGCACTTCTATTCTGACATACCCAGACATTAGTTTCATTAGTCAGACTCAGCAGCAACTGATTTGGTTCAAAAAATTAAGCACCTGATAATTAAAAGTGTTTCCGTGAAATAGAAGCAAAGTCATACTACTTGACTAAGAAAACATCATGCTAATTTGCATAAAATAAATGTTGTGTGGAAGTCAACATAAAATTTAAAAAACAGTCCCTCACTTCTCTTTTCATTTCTACTACTGTATGCCCATGGGCCACTTCTTTCTCTAATCTGACTGGAACTATTTCAGGTCTCACAAGTTTAAAGGACACATCTTTCAGATACATTTCTTTCAACTTTCAGCCAGTACTTCAGAAACCAGCTGCAAGCTTGAAAGTTCCCTCAGAGTCTCTTGTTTCTGACCTTCTGGACATGAATTCAGGGTACTCCAGCTACTCCTTTAGGATCCCAGCTACAAGCTGGCTTCCTTAGGATACCTTTCTTCTAACTTAACAGGTTCATTTTCCCTCTAAAACTTCAGGATACGAGCTTTTTAATAAAATCAGAGGTTCTCTTCCCCCTTTATTGCTGATCCCACTGCTTTTTTCCCGTGGAACAAACTATAGCTATCATAATACCTAAAATTAAAGCTTTGCAAAAAATGAAGAGACATACAAGGTGAAATTGAATAAGATTTCCAGTGCAGAGCTTCCATATCTCAAAGAGGGATGCACTATGTTCTTACATACGCAGATAACTTCACTAGACAGGAAGCCCACACAGCTGCTTTGTCCAGCACTTTAATTAGGCATCATATTAGGTAATGTGAACTCCAGCCTTACCTCCCTGAGATTGGTCCATGTCCAGAGTCATCATACTCTGTTGAGTCACTTGGGCCTGGCTAGCCTCCACCCTAGTCACTGCATCTTCTCATCCAACATGTTGGTGAGTTGTCATCTGGAGTCCTCATCAAAGGCAGGGTTTGTTTTGTTTTGTTTTTTAAAAAGAAATTCTCACCAGCTAAGAACAAAGACCAGATTCTTTGAGTAAAATGAATATAAACTCCCCAAGATAAAAATTTTTAATAAGAAAAAGATAACTCATTAAAATGATGAACAAGTATGGAAAAAGAACTATAAATTGGTAATAAGCTGAGATTAGCAGCTTATTTACCTTCCTTAAAATTAATGAAATCCGTGATTGGCAAAGATATGGGCAACAGCTACTGTCCCATTCTTTAGGTAGATGTATAAATAGGTCTAAATATTTTGGAGGCCAGTTTACTTCTTGCTCTTAAAATGTATGGTCTTTGAGCTAACTCTTCGAATTTCTTATAAAAATATTTGCAAAGACAGTGTTTGTGAGGAAAGTACCCTAAATATCCATCAGAATAAAAACAGTTAAATTATGATCCATCTGTCCATGGATATTCTAAACAGTCTTTAAAAGGAGGAAAAAGAGCTATATATACTGATATTTAGTAATGTTCAAGACATTATTAAATGAAATTAATCTGTCATATTATTTTTTTGGTTGGTTGATAGGTTGTTTTTTACATGGAGGAATCACAGAAAGCCTAATAGGAAAATGACAACAGTTAAGTTAGAGATGTGAAGTGCTTTCAGTTTTCACTTTTTTCCCCTTTTGTATTTGTTTTTCTTCCTTGAAGCATATATTTCATTTTAATTTTTAAAAATCTTAAACATTTATGTAGACTGTATACACAAATCTCTGCTTATTGTCAACTACTAAGTATGGGCATATGCTGTGTATTTTATTTTACAGCCGTTTTAAAGGCCATCTGTTTTTTCTTAATTAACTATTTTGAAATAAGCTCTCTAGAAGTTGCATAAAAATAGTACACAAAAGTCCCCTATACCCTCCACACAGTTTTACTCAGTCGTAGCATCTTAGATAATTGTAATATGTTATGATAACCAGGAAGTGGCATTGGCACAATACAGTTAACAGGACAGCAGACGTAAAAGCAGGTTTTTTTGGGGTGTCTGTATGCCTTTGGGGTTTTTTTGTTTTATTTCCATCTTAATGATAAATTCTATGTTCTTTTTTTTTTTAATTGAGATTTTAATGAAAGTTTATAGAGAACTTTGTTTTCCATTCATTATTCTTGCACATTTTCCTTCCTGCTTCCCTCTTCTCCATTTCACTGTTTTCTTTGGGGAAAAACATTCTTTCATTGTTACACGGTTACATCTCCTCCCCCCACCCCAAGTCCACTTTACTATGCAAATCTTTTTTTATTGTTATTATTAAATTTTATTAGTTTTAATGAACATTTACAGAGATTTTGGGTTTTCATTCATTCATTGTTGCACTGTTTTCTCTACCCTCCTCCCCAGTTCATTCTTCATCCCCCCCCCCGAATGTCTGTTTTAATTGTCCAATTGCCACAGTGCTTGTCAAAGCCATTTCTGATTAATCTCCTTTTGTCAGTGTGTCCTTTGCCATTCCCTATCACTCCTCCCTGAGAGAGACTTCACCCTGATTCATAAGGAAAAGGGGATGGCGTATTCTCTTAGCTACTTCCTGCTGAAAAGGGACGCTGTGGGTTTCAGGGTGAAGATCTTCTCTCACTACTCTAAAGGGCCCCTTTGGCAGTAGGAAACACATAGACTATTATGGAGATTGATTTTGGAATTTAGATGCACTGTTATCAGTTATGCTTAGCCATACATGTTCATATCCTTGAAGATGTATCATGGAGGTGTTGCACCCTAGAAGACACAAATTTAACTAACAAGTTAAAAGTACATGAGTCAAAAATTAACAAGCAATAATATTCCGAGTAGAGGTTCTAATAGTGGCACAAATCAAGTTACAGAGGGAAGGCGGTTCTTACAATAAAAGGCCTTATAGACTAGCACTTTGTCTGTTATAGTGTACAGGTTAGGAACCACAAGATGTAGAGGCTCAGCTGTGTCATTTATGCTTCTTAAGTCCTGGAGCAAATTCCATCTGCCACTGGGCTGTTTTACTACTCAGAAGTTCACATGCAAGGTAGAGGTGAAGTAAGGAACTGCTTATGAGGTTTTCCGTCCATTCCAACAACTAACAGATAGTGAGAAGAGTTGGGACCTCAGAAGGCTTTTAGGACCAATTAGTAGGCTCTGTGTCCAGGAGAAAATGAATATACTTACCAGTAATGTTAATGCTCATCCACAGCTCTTCTGGGAGGATCTAAATCGTTGAAGCGTCCTCCTTTGTTTCCAGCTGGGAGCTGGGGCTTGTCAGTCCTGTCTGCCACGAGGACCTGATGTGGGCCACCTAGGCCAAGTGTCCTTCAGAGCCACACTTAAAGCAAGTGAGTGGGAGCTTCCTCTCTACTCCCTTGCCTATCTGTGTCTCTCATCTGTGACATTGTCTACTGAAGTGGCCCAGCTTTCCACAGTGGAAGCAATTCTGACCCCCTTTATTACCTTTGGGTGGCAACTATGCAACTCTTATTCTCAACCCTTGCCATACCAATAATACCAAACCATATATTCGTTTTAAACAGTTCTCTCCCTCGTCTGTTTCAATGTCATGTGCATTATTTATCCCCTCTTTTCTTAGGATAAATTCTATATTCTTAATATACATTTACAATATTACTTCCAGCTAGTCTTCTATGTCTTGGTTTCAGTATTTGGCAATTGCTTTTAGCTTAAGGGAAGTCTGAGGAATATTTTAGTTGCTAAGTCAGAACATTTATATATCTATCATTAGGAGTCAAGGGTCTGAATCTTGAGTTTTAAGATTTTATGGATTAATGTTCTTATTGTCTGTATGCTTCTTTATTTATAACCTAAATAGAAAAATATATTTTAAATCTTGGGCCTTGCTTCCAACTGTTCTAACTTATAAAGCACTTTAAGTGTAATTGCTTTTAAGTATACTATAGATCAAAATGTTATTTTCTTTTTCCGTAAGAAAAAAAATAATAACGCGCTTTTTAAATGCATTGTGTTTTGCACCTTGCATTTATTGAGTCTTATTTTAAGGTAAACATTATTTTGTATGTAGGAAAATGACATGTATAACAAAACAACTTTCTTTTTTCTTTTTCTAGCCAATACTGGCCCCTCTTTGTTTTGTTTTTTTACATCCTTTCACCTATTCCATACTGCATAGCAAGAAGATTAGTGGATGATACAGATGCTATGAGTAATGCTTGTAAGGAACTTGCCATATTTCTTACAACAGGCATAGTTGTCTCGGCTTTTGGACTTCCTATTGTTTTTGCCAGAGCACAGTTGGTAAGTGATCAACTTCTCAGATACATTTCTCTGTTAATCATTTTATATTAGACTCTTTATTATCAAAATATTTTTGTAATTGTAGTTAAAAAGAGACACAGGCACCTAGAGGACAGATATGTTCGTTGTTGACTGATTAAAATGTTATTAAAGAGTGTGACTTGGGACTACAGTGACATCTGTTTCCCAGTGCTTCGCTCTCGGGATTCTGCACACCAGCAGTGCTGAGCAGCACAGAGGCCTGCCCTCCCTAGTGGAAATGTGGGAGACCTGGGAAGTTTGTATGTTCTCTGCAGATGTGAAAGTATCAGAGAAGAGGAGGGGCTGAGCTGCAGAGACGCAGACCTTCTCAAACTCACTTTCATCACTGGCATCTCTGAGGGTGTGGAGAAAAAAACTGCTGAGACAGGAAATGACCACTCTTCCATATGGAGAGGGCCATAAAAGAACGTACACAGATACAGTTTCACTGCTGACATTTTAAAATTTAATCAGCTTAGATAAAATTTTATCTTCACTAAAAGAAAACCTTTCCTTACAGAAAAATGTAGAATTCTACAGTTTTACCTTTTATAGTCTAGTGTCAAGAAGCTGTGCGGCAGTCCTGAAGGCACATGGTTCATTTCCACTAGCTGCTCCATGGGAAAAGGATGTGGTCTCCTCCTGTGCATTTTACTGCCTCTGAAAACCCACCAGAGCTTCAGCCATGAGTTGGTTCTGACTCTATGGTATACAACAACAGTCTAGAATTCAAGTTTGTTTTTGAATAGTTTTCAGCTCCACAATTTTTTTATTTATAAAAGAACTAGACATTAAAAAAAAAATAAATAAACCACTGTGCAAGTGCTGGTCATTATATTTTTGAGAATTGTTATTACAAATCTTTTTTGATACGCAACTAGAACATTTTGATTTTCATTGTTTTTCATGTGTGTTAACTCTTCTGCCTTTTTTCTACAGATTAAGTGGGGAGCTTGTGCACTTGTTCTCACAGGAAACACAGTCATTTTTGCGACTATACTAGGCTTTTTCTTGGTCTTCGGAAGCAATGATGACTTCAGCTGGCAGCAGTGGTGAAAACGAATTGCTGAACTATTGTAAAATGAACTTCTTGTCATTTGTTGGCCATCCATACAAACAGGAGTTTGGGCAATAATGCTGAACTGTATAGCAAGCCTCTTGGGGGTATTATAGGTGCTCCCATTTTGTTTGTATTGTAAGTGTACTATTTTCAAAGAGACTTGCTGAAGGATTAAAAAGTTATGGGTTGATTTTTTTCTTTTGGAAAAGCTTGACTGGTTTCACACTTACTGTAGTATGCTTTTGTGGTGTCCTGCTGAATTTAAGTACGTACATGTTTTTCTTGTTCAGTTTCTGTTTTAACCAATATGCAATGTTAAATGTTCTTGAAATGTAGTAACAATTTATTTGCATTGGTTAGGAATTTGAATTCTGTCAGATGTATTGTTAGGTTAAATTTTGTCTTAAAATTATTTAACCTCCATTATAAAAAATTACAAAAATAAGTTTTCAATCAGTCACGATGACATCACTCCCAATTTTATGCAAATATGGAGACTTTTGGCAAACCTTATAGAAAATATACTATGTGCAAATGTAATTGCATATATACCTCAGAGGGGCCAAGTATTAATGCCCGGGCCCTCCATAAGATTTAATGGTTTTACTAATAAGGTGTTTTGTGAATTGAGAATTATTTTATGGAATTGCTGCAAAGGAGTGCTTTTCTTTTCAGTTGGTAGAATTGTTAAATTTGAAGAGTGTGAAAATCAGTTTTTGAGATCTATAGTTTCATACTTCTTGTAGTTGAAAGTTGCAAGAGTGAGTTGCATTGTGGGAAGAAACCATTGAAATCCATTGTTTTGAATCCTGTTTCTATATTTATAAGTGGAATTTTTTTTTCTTTTCTATCAGCCTCTCATGTTTTACCGCGGGTAAAATGGACATACATGGAACTACTGATGGAGGGGAGTTGTCTGTTTGCATCATATATACAAGAAAACCTTCCCCTGATTCCACCTTTTAACTTATTTTACACATTGTATATATTAAGTATAATAACTTTTCAAATACAGTGTAATAACACTTAAAATGAAAAATGTTGAACTTACCTGGAAAATAATTGCTATGCCATACATTCAGAGTGCCCCTTCCCCACAAGGCCTTGGCTTGATTGACAAGAAACTTGTTAGTCTTGCAGATTATTCATGCATTAACAGTTTAAAGTTTAGACCATGGTAATTGTATTTTTTCTTGTCTAAGGTTATATCATATGTAATTTAAGAATATTTAAGATAAATCCCCTATTTCCTCCTGATAGATTAGTTTCCCTTATGAAAAGCATTTTTTATGTGTGTGTCTTAATGCAAAGTAGCCAAATCCAGCTGTATAGCGGCTTCAGAGACAAATCTGACCAAAAATTTCCCAATACCTAGGCATGATCAAATTGTAGTGATCATTTGCATCTCACATTTACCTGTACTTTTTTCAGGAGCTTGTTATGATGATGTTCAACTTAGTCTGACAGTATTCTGTTAAAAATATTTCTTTATATGTTTATTCATTATCCTTACATAAAAATTGTTTTGCTTTTAGACACAACTGAATAATCATGATAGCTATCTTCTGTTTTACAAAAGTATATTTCTCAAGAAAATGGAAATAAATTTTAGATTTGTTGAGCCTTTTACTAACAATGCCTAAAGCCACAGATTATATTGCCTAACCCAGGTAGTTACTTTTAGCTGTTTAATGGGAGACAGGATGAGATTTATGAGTGTGGCTGTACCATGTACACATTATGCTTGAAATGGCTTGCTGTATTAATGTTCTAGACTCTAGTGATGCTACATAAACAGGAAAATTCAGGTACCTATGAGTGAGACAGCTGATGATACAATTGGGAACGCTGTGCCTGTGATTGACTTAATTGTTTTGCAGGAAGTACATTCTCTGTTCCTTTCCCGTTTTCTGTTCTGTGATGTCAGTGCAGTGCACTGCTGCTATTTATTCATTTGGCCATAGACTCTTTTTCTAACAGCGCATATTCTTTCCGTATACTGATTGTATTGACAGCATTGTGTTTTACCTTGTACACTAGTTTGACATAGTGCTGTTTCTGATTTTTAGGTTGGTTACTTGAGGTATGACTTTTTCCATAGAATATGCACTGATACAGCATTGCCATTCTACTATGGAAAGAAAAACTTTTGATGATGAAACAATAAAGATGTTAAATATCTATTTTAGTTTGTGGATGATTTTGAAATAAAAACATAACCACACACTTGAGCTTTCTTTTTATATTGTAAAGCAAATGTAATATTAGTTATGTTAGACTTGCACATGTTTTATAATCAAATAAAAGTTGAAACCATCAACAAATATTACAATGAAGTCCTCATGATTTTACTGTAATGAAATCAGGGTTTAATAAAAACGCTAGTAATCTGAAGTAGGATTTTTACCTAATCTATTTTTAAAAGCACTTAAGGAAGGTTGTGGGTTTGAGTTTTTAGGTTTGTTTTTTTGTATAAGAGGTACTATCTAAAGCCAAGAACTGACTTT